GGTATTAGCCCCTAGTCGACGCTAGCGCCGCGCGTGGTCTCGTACCAAGCTATCCCATCGCGTTACGGAGAAGTTCCGTCACCAGTGGCATATAATAAATGACTCTGCTAATACTAACTATAAAAAAAAAACACGTTCACAACGTCTACGTTTTTCAAGTTTCGTTTGGGACTTGTACTACATACCCGCGAAAGTAGGGAAAATTAAACGAATGAAAAATAAAACGCAGGCTTTTTTTTATTATTCGTTAATTGTTTTAACTAGAGTTCTAACTTCGTTTTTTATACTATAGCAACTCCTATCAGATTCGGACATATACTCCGGGAAAATAAAGCAAGTTCAGATACTCCTCGTCCCAGAATAGGGGTAACCTGCCTAGCGTGTATCCGTTATGAAAACCTCGCACAGACCTAAGCAAAACAATATGAGCATCCACGTCGACTAAAAGTAAAAGAAGAAAACAGTACAGACAGAATGTTTCGTCTTCTAGAAACCTGCTACCCAGCTTGTCTACTATATTTTATTCTTCTACTATACACTTGAAAAGCTCAACTTTGTTCCCCTGGCAGATTTTTTTATTTTTTTTTCATGGTATGCGTATTTCTTGTTTTCGTTAGTCTTGGATGGGAACCCTCCCTGACCCATCCCAGGGCTTTTCTTTTATCTCGATCCAGGTGTCTCTCGGAAACTTGCACGTGTTCGCGTTGATAGTTTCTTTTCTCTCTCTTCTTTTTCTCTCTCTCTCTTTCTTTATGTATCTTATATATATATATATGTATATACGTAACTTCCCGCATGCATGTATACATATATGTCGGCTTTTGGTAGAACTGTTGTGGGTTGGCGGTTTGCGAAGACTCACCTCAAATCTAGTTTTACTTTATTTTATCTCTGCACACACACACACACACACAAAAAAAAAAGTTAAAGGAATAGAAAAAAAAAAAAAAAGACCGCGCCTTGTTTTTATAATATAATGCAAAAACCAAACGTTCAGTGTTGAGGTTGCTAGAGGTCGTTCGTTTTTGTTTATTGTCTTTTGTGTCGTTGTTCAATGCCTGCATCTTCTTTTGGTGTGCTTTTTATTTTTTATTTGTTTTATTGTATATTCGTACTCTCCAGTGTTAGTCCTGTAGTTCCGGCTCCGACGTCGATGCTTTTTGGTTTCTTTCGGTGCCATCTTGCTTCTTTCTTTTCGGGGAGGGGGGAATCGGGCGCGGGGTGAGGGAGGAGGTTTGCTATGACGACGATGACCGTTATAAATATTCTTTGTTCCGTCGTGCCGTTAATGCCTCAATGTCGTTAATAACAGGGCTGTTTCATATCTTTTCTGATTTTTTTCTTACTGCCACATACGGTTCGCTGAAAGCCAACAAAAATAATAACAATGAGCAAACGCGTGGCGGATGAAAGCATTATAGCGAAACATTCTTGGAACGTCTCGGCAAACCTTGAGAAGGCGCATTTTTCCCTTGTCTAGGTTCCATGCGTGAGCGCACATAAAATAATATTTAAAAAAAGGCAACGTGAATATCGTTTTAAGACGTTATAACGAAACACGTGCCAGTTCTGTTACACTCTCGAATACACTCTTATCGTTCATCCAAATGCGATAGTCTTTTTATTGCATTACTTTTGTGTTTTGATTTCTATACTCAATCTATAAAACCCTGCTTTCTTTTCAAGCTCACGTAATACATAAAAAAAAAAAGCCGTAAGATCGCTTTTCTCAAGAAATTGCGTTTCTTGGGTGCACACTCTTACCAGTGCATTCCAAGCATTTTCACATCTGTCGTGTCTTGATCGGTATGAGTGAATAAAAAAACCCAGTCGAGCGAATCGTTGTCTCGGGGTCGCATGCCAAAATTGAACCGCGATCCCGTGTACCATTTTCCTTTTATTTACTCAAAATTGGCGTAATTGGATAGATGGCTATTCTGGGGGATGTTCTGCATATACTATTGGTGATTCCAGCAAATTTGACGGCACCCAGCGACTGGAGCAGAAATCAGGTTTTTGCGCCAGCCTTCTGGAGCGAATAAGGTATTTACAGCGCTTGATAATCTGAAGACCAAGCCATGAAAATAGGTTCGAAAACACGTGGCGAAAATCGCCAATACGGTAAGATATTAGGCAAAATAAGTATAGGGCACTTTGACCATCTATTCTTCAAACCATGTTGATCGATGTACCGAACCGGGACATTTAAATACATGCCCTATTGAAAAAACCAGCTTAAGCTGGTCCCAGCTTCAAGCTGGGTTATTGCCCCAGCATGCCCAGCTTGGCATGCTGGTCATGCTGGTTGATCTGGTCATACTGGTCATGATGGTTGATCTGGTCCCAGCTTCAAGCTGGGTTATTGCCCCAGCATGCCCAGTTTGGCATGCTGGTCATGCTGTTAAACTGGTCATGCTGGTGAACTTCCCAACCAGTTTAACCTGTTTAAATTAATACACAGAATAAAAAAGCCAAGCTCGTCAGAAAAGCCAACTCGGCATCCAATTTATTATTTTCGTACTTGCGGCAGCCTCACATGAACTCAAATGCTACACATCCTCGGCGCTGACACAGTACTAACCGACGCACAGATTCTCGGTGCAAATTGTCTACAATGTTAATAAAACCAGATTGCTTATCTCTCAACACGAAAAAAATACTAGACACAGGCCAAAAACAGGCAATAGCAGACGAAAATACTACACGGACGAGAGAAGCGAACCTGGGTCCCGCCAGCGATGGGGGCGAAGCGGCAACTTGCGTGGTCGGCAGAGGCGAGGAAATCCGTGTGGCTTGGATGGCATTGGCGATACTCCTCGGCACCGCCGTCATTCTTGGGCACACACACGTTCGAAGACACGAAGCGACGCCGCAGTCGGGACGTCTGACATCTTCCCGCACTGAACGGACTGCCGCTCGCTGTCTTCTCAAAACCCGCTTCGCTTGCACCGTCGTTCAACTAGTCTCCAAACAACGCGCACACAGCCGTCCCTTCGATCTGCCCTCTGCCCAAGCTATCCAAACGCGTCTTCGATTCTCCGTTTCTACCACTCTCTCTCTCTCTCTCTCTTTTCTCGCACACAAAGGTAGCTTGCAGCGCGCCTGACGCGCCCGGTGGTCTACCAAAAACGAGAGGACAAAGAACAGGACGTGGCCTCGTTCCAGCAGCCGACCTTGTCGCGCGCGCTCCCAGCAATGCCAGTTCGGCTATCTCTAGCCGACCTTGGCGTGCGCGCTCCCAGCATGACCAGCTTGACCACCACGATTATTATTTCGACCAGATTCACCAGCTTGTCTCCCAGCATGACCAGCTCGTCTCCCAGCTTGACCACATTGGCTCCATGGAAAACCAGTTTGACCAGTTAAGACCAGACTGGCTCCCAGCTACACCAGATTGAATCTAAAACCAGATTCGAGTGAGACCATGCTGGTCTTTACTTAGACCAGACTGACCAGCTTAAATTCCAGCTTGCCCAGCTTAAACCAGCTTGATTGCCAGCTAAACCAGTTTAATTACCACATTGACCAGTTTGACCACCTTGATTACCAGCTTGACCACCTTAATTACCAGCATGACCAGTTTGATTTTCATGCTGGTTTTTCCAATAGGGTGGGTAGGTACCTGCATCTAATGTATGTTTTAGATAGAGATCTAAAACAACTGACGTATCATCAAGAGCTAAGACGACTTGGCATTCGATATAGCTATAGAGTTCTAATGCCTCTAAGAAATCCTTCGATGCTTCCGGCGGATAGATGATCCTAGACTTCTTTGTTCACTTTATATACTAGAGTGTTCATAGTGGATCAAATATACGCAAGGAACTTGCGTAGCAATAACCTTTGGGAGTGCACTGACAAAGTAATTACTATATATCGCTAACAAGTCTTACTCCCGTACTCGTCGTGTTGCGGCAAGATGGCAAAAGAAACGAGGCTTAAATACAGCTAGCCCTACCTTTCTGCCTCAAGAATATTTATACCTTTTAACTCATGAGACTAGTCTACGCAAATAGTTGGCATAATATACTGGGCTACCTTGTTCTCTTGGAGGAAAGGGAACTAACTATCCGCGAACTTCAATTACATCTATGATTGACTCCGTAAGCCGCCGGAACAGCGGTGCGGCAGTAACTGGAACATAAATCATTGCAGAAATTACCTGTAGGCTCCAGCTGGGCACCACCGAATAGCAGCGCTATTATTGTCTTTCTCACTGTGTAGCCCAATGTGCGGGATATAACGCTGTGTAATGGTCCGCCGACAAATTATTGAGCCGTATAAGGCATGAGACGTTGACATCACCTTAATAACAAGCCTACCCGTCATCGATAGAATCTGCGACTTAATATTGCTTGTGCGACTATGTGCATTCGAAACGTACGGCGTTAGATAATTTGCATATTAGGAACTCTAAGTAGACCAGAGCGTTGCAAGCCAGAGCTCGTGCTTGCACTTTGAGGCGTGGGTTGAGCTTATACGGTCTACTAAAACTTTCTATTAGCGTTTAAATTATCCATCTATAATATTGTTGTTTAAAACACTCGAAATTTATAAGGCTGTGAAATGTGTAACATTTCAAATATAGCGATTTGATATCAATCTATTTACAATGTTCAAATAAAAAAAAAATAAAAAAGTATTTCGCTTAATTTTGTGACATTACGAAGTACCAAACGTTAAAACACTCAAATGGGAAGCTCCAATGTATAATATATATTCAATATAAACAAAAAAACAAGGCTGAAAGCTAGCTGGTGGAGGTTAAACACGCGGTGAACTTACCCGAAAATATTAGTCCTAGCACATTCTAAACATTCAGAGCAAGCACAAAATTTGGACACTGCCATTAGATGTGGCGCCGCAGGCCTTCATGGTATGGGCCACTTGCCTTTCTGTGGCGCCGCGGTTCTCCTGAACCAAATAAGTATTATTATTATTATTATTATTCCTGTCAAAGCATCCCTAACCCGCTCCTTCTCTCCCTCTCTTCCCTGCAGGCGAGAAGCCGTTCAAGTGCGAGTTCGAAGGCTGCGACCGAAGGTTCGCCAACAGCTCGGACCGCAAGAAGCACTCGCACGTACACACTTCGGACAAGCCGTACAACTGCAGGATCCGTGGCTGCGACAAGAGCTACACGCATCCGAGCTCCCTGCGCAAGCACATGAAGGTCCACGGCAAGTCGCCGCCGCCGTCCCCCTCCTCATCGTCGGCCTCGGGCTACGAGAGCGACCAGGGCAACCACGGCGGCAACGGCGGCTCCGTCGGCGGACATCAGCAGCAAGGGACGCTCGGTACCATGACGGGCTCTTCCAACGCCGCGAATCCTGCGATTGGGACGGCCCTCAGCTCCCAGGGTGCGCCGCCCAGCCTCGAGCAGCTCGTGTCTTCGGCCCAGCTGGGGCCCGGGACGACTGGACTGAACGAGTGGTACGTCTGCCAGACCGGGGGAATGCCCACGCCGCCCAGTAACGAGCACTCTCCGCTGGGCGGGCCGCACCATCACCTGCCGCCGCCCTACTGACCTCGGCTGCAGGGGGCATCGGTGGCATTCTGAGCAGCCCCCCGCTTTGGGGAACGCCTGGAAGGGGTTGGACTCCGTCTCCAACGCACGGAACTCTTCGTTGACCCCCCTCGGCCGAAACCAAACTCCGCCTTCGATACCACCTGTTAAACCCGAGCGTGTGATGCCGGGTTCGAGGGGTTTTCGTTGGCGAAAAACCAACTGTGGACAATGGACACGTGTGGACCTGACGTCCGATCCCACCTCGTCCCGTTTTGGGGAAGCGTCTCTGGGTTGGGGGAAAAACTTGCTTCGAAGCTGCCCGAGAGACCCGGCTCTTCTCTTTCGGTTGGGGTTCGTGTGTGAAATCTGTTGTTAAGAAGCGTTGCCAAACTAAGCCAACAGTTTAGAAATGTGACGTAAATTTATATCGACGGTTTGGGATAAGATTGGGAGAGTCACTTGGCAGCCCTCCACAGGCCACTACACAAAGTAATGCGAAAGTGTCCCAAAGGCTATTCCAAGTACCGCCGCGAACAATATGAGCTGCGACACGCAATGCGGCTTTTTTCTGCTATTGCAATACCAGCAACTTTTCATATTCCTCGATTTTTTACGTACTGGGACCTAAGCTTTGCGTCCCATCAAACAGTTTGGACGCATCCTTTTCTTAGAAACCGCTAGGTACGCCAGGAAAAAAAGTGAAGGGCTGTTGCAGCTCAGATTGTTGGCCATAGTACCATTTCACTTCTCTCAATGCCCGGGTGCTAACATTGACGCATTATGAGCGGTGTTTTATGAGGTACCTCTCAAACCGTAGTGGCCTACGTGTCTAACACCTTTCGTGGAAAATAATACCTTACATTTTTATCTGGTCATACCTAACTGAAGCTGCCATATGATTCAGATCGCCAAAACTCGCGCCTATACCAGAGGTCTAGTACCAAACTGCAGGCCATCGAAAGAGGAGAGGTTCGGAAATAGCAGCGGATAAGGCAGATACAAGGTGCACTACCTCAAGCAAGACATCGAGCTGTCGTGAGCCTCGAAAGCTCAACAAATCGTACTTTGCTTCACGAGCCGATAGCTTTTGTGATGCAGAACTCGCATGACGCGTATACTTTACGTCTCTAAGTACTGCGCTCTGTCTTTAGAAGAAACGATGCCCAACGTGAGTGACGAGGCACATTTTGTTTCATGAAGAGCATGGGCGTCTTTCAACTCATTCCGCTCATATGTACAGCTTTCCAGCGGTTATCACCCGGGCAAAAAATGTTGAATCATAGGACTGTGGACGCATTCGCCGCGCCTGATATTTGGAGGAAGTAGGCCCCCGCGCATGCCCAGAAGGCGTTCCACAGCCTAGCTGGCAAAGGTGGCACCGCACGGAAGGCTCTATAGGCCGCCATGTTTTTTTCCTAAACCTCTACAGCGTCACGCGAGTCAGTGCCGCAAAAAGAATGTCGCTACTCGTATACAAGCGCCAAATTCAACCTTGATCTTGGAACTTTATTCACAGCCACCCTGCTCGTGATATATGTGTTTGCCTACATACGAACAATAGCTCTATGGCGGAACCAGTACAATAACCCGAGTCGGGAACAGATCATCGTCGCGTAAAGTTGGTACGCCGCCAAGTGCCCCTCAAGAAAAAAAAAATATATATAGTGTTTTTTTTTTCGTCACAAAATTAAATTACACATTGCCTAACGCTCATTCTCTGCCTAAATGCACATTCTCCGTCGAAATGTAGCGCGATCGGTTTGAACCAGGTGCGAAAGTTTCAGCACTAACCATTATCTTATTAAAAAAAATTCTAAGTGATTTTCTGATCCTTGGAGCACAGCTCCAACCAGTAATATGATTTTCTGAAAATTTCAATGGAAAAATGGGGCCCATTTTCACTCCTTTTTCGATAACTGGTACCATAGAACTTCCTGTATTCGAAAGTTCTGTCGGTCGTCATTTTCCACTGAACATTTCAGGAAATCACGTATGACTTTTAAATAAAATAACGGTTAGTGTTTTTAATTCTGACACCTGTTTCGGACCGCTAGCAGCGCTACATTTGAGCGGAGAATGAGAGTTTGGCAATGCGTAATTCATTTACTGTAAAGAGAAAAAAGTTTTTTCGGGAACATCTTGTACATCTCCTCCACAAAGGTCTTGCTGAACAGAGTGTTCGAAAATGTGGCTGTATAGGGTTTCTGGAGCTCGTTATTTTCGTAGTCATCCGTGCTGGGCAAAAGCGGAATTTAGCGACGCGCTTCTAATTTTCAGAGGAACTAGCCAGAAGCATACCTACGGCTAAGCAAATAACAGGAACATCATGAAGGCGTTCAAATCATCTAAGGAATCTCCAATCCAAAGTACAGTGTTTGTTATTAGAGGCGGGAGGCGAGGAAAGCCTGTTCGCTTTAGCATGTGCGTGTGGCATATCAAACACACAAAAACAAAAAGAAAGAACAACAAACAAAAACAAAAAAAGACGCAAAACGACGGACACTAACATTTGTATTCAGATCACTTTCTATGAAAGACGAAACACGAACGAAAATTCCTTTTTAAAAGAAAACAAAACAAAAAATCTTATCAAGCTGGGAGATAAGGAAGAAATTTGCAAAATGTTCTTTTATAATATTTCGAAACGCGAAACGACTGCGCTATTTAGCCAGCGATTTGCGCTCTCGACCAAATTATTTTGAAAGTTACTTAATTTAAGTTAATAACGATGAATGAAAATTCCTCCTTAATGTGAAGTCCAACGAGAATCACACACCATATTCTGTTTGTTAGCTGGATAACTTAAAACAATTACTTTCAAAAGTCATTCAGGCGCATGAGTACACTTCTGGCATAGCCAGGTAGTGCCGTTGTGATCATTTGAACGCAAGGTTTGGCAGAACAAGGGTGGTTTGCACGCGAAAAAAGTATGGCCATCTCTAAGGTACGACATCACTGGAGAGTGTTTTCAATTTTAGAAATTAACAGCGAAAAAACAACAGGAACCAAGAATTAGAGGTCAAAGCGCTCAAATAGCGTGCTTCTTGAACACTCCGTCCCCTTGTCCTTTTTTTTACGTTATTATATTTTTAGATTGTTTTGCTACATAGCCAACCTTCGTGCTTCTCATCTTCGATTGCACTGTTTTAATATTTATTATTAGGACTCAAAGTGATGCCTCGTAGCTTGTACGGTGCAATGTATAAACTACTTATAAATATGTGTCAATTGATGGAAACGCCGCGCTTTCGGCAACGCTGCACATAAAATTTCGCCACAGTGCTCGATGACTACGGAAAATTGTCACATTTCTACTTCTCTTGCTATGACGCCTGAATCGATTGCGTTTGAGAAACATTGAAAAAACCTGTAACGCAGTGCTGTATTTTTAATCATCGGCGAATTGGGCTGCAGATGTCGTACTACCTCGGGCACGACGCTTATAGCTCCACGGGAACAGATGTGATTGGTCAAGCTCTCTCAGAGACGAACTTCAGACGGCGGCTCCCCCGAACTACGACGCCTGTGCTCGCAATTGATCACCCAAAGTGACGCTTCAGGACGTTTCTTCGAGTTCTTCAACTTCACAGACTTGTACCATAGATTTCCTCCCGTGTCCCCATCTTCATTCACCGTGCGTGCATGAGCGACTGTATGGTGCGTGAGTGTGTGTTGTGATGCGTCCTGCTTGAAACTTCCACAGGAACTGACGTCAGAACTTCCGTTTGTGGACTGTGAGACGCGTCTGTGTCTTGGCGGCTTGACTACTGGTGAGCCGTAAAGCACCGACAGAAACAAGCAGCAGTGCTTTGATTCGCAGACGCACGCGTGAGTAGAAAGTTGTGTGTACATTTCGAGTTCTATTTTATTAACGCGACGAGTGCCGAAGGAGTGGACAAAACACAAACAAATCCCGCCGACATCAAAGATCCTCTACCCTGTCATCTTCTATTTTTACAATGATTGCAACGAAACGTCGTATTAAAATGTGGCGAGAAACTCTCGAAGAAAACACTTGTCAGTGTCCTCTTCCTTTTTGGCCTCCGATACACAACTTATTCGCAAGACCCATCCTGCCGGAGGGCGCCTCCATGGTCTCGCTCGTTTCTAAGTTTCAGGGTGGAAATGTAATTCATATCATCGAATGTTGCTAAGATACAAAGGCATATCGAGTGGCAAAATAGAAACCAGGCGCTGACCAAACTAACATGGTCTCCCCAAAGAACAAAAAACGACATGGTGTCTAAAAAAAATTAAAAAAAAAAGCTTACGAGTGTAAAATGAGCAGCGCTCGGACAATGTTGTTACCCTGACACATGACAGTGAAAAACGCGGATGATTAATCATTATAATGCAAAGGTGCAAGCGAGCTGGACAAGAATGATGAAAATAATCCCTGGAGAAGGGGAACAAGAGGTCCCGGGTTCGATACCCGGACCAGGCGGATTTTTTCGGTCGCTCACCAGTTACCTAGCTGTGTTTGGAGATTTATGTTTGTCCTTTGTCCCTCTTGTTCCCCTCCTCCAAGGATTATTTTCATCATGGATGATTAAGTTGTTTTAGCGTATTACAAAATCCAATTGGTGTGGGCTGGCGTGGGCATCCGATAACTCCGCATTGCAACAAGTTATATAAAATATCTAAAACTCCAGAAAAAAAAAAAAGTTTGTCACGCTTTATTTTTTCAATAAGTGGGATTTACGCGCTTCTTTAAATTATCGTTTTATATGGTCGTAAATAACTAGCTTCAACTATTTCGACATCATTGGGCTTTTGTAGTTTTTTGTTTTGTTTTTTTTGTATAATATCAGAAAGACGGCAGACGCATGAATTTATTTCTGAACTCACCATAAGTTTCACTATACGCCTGGCGTCCGAAATGTATTGTGGCGTTTAAATAGTTAGTTGAGGTGCTTGGCTAATCGAAGAGACCGCACGCCCTCAAGCAAAACAAACAAAATAATAAAAACGCAAACGAAGAAATTTCACAGGGCAAACTCGCAACGTTTTGTTTAAACATTCACTTGAATTTTGTTGGAATAGGAGCACCAGCTCTAACCAATCCGTATTCTCTGCAAGAAAAAAAAAATCCTTATAAAGGAGGGCCAACGGATTCACAGACGCATCTATCACGACCCCTTGACTTGAATGATGATAGTAGTGTAGTCCGGAAAGAAGTTTTACTGTAACCTGGCCATCTTAGAAGACGAAGTCACACTCACTAGGCGCGCCACCGCGGGCCTCTGAGGTACGGGCTGTCGCCTTTCCGCGGTGCCGTAGCTCTCCCGAGTCATTAAAAATGATTATGATTATAAGTTTTCGTTGACGAGAATTATATTCAGATTTATATAATAACCCTGCTGATCCCGAATCTGAAACGCCACATTCTCTCGTGTGAACAGCAAGCCTACACTACACTGAGCTTTAGCTTGCGTCAGAGCAGTGTTGCGAGGCCAAAGCTGCTAGAGGGCGTTGACCAAGCATGCTTACTGGTTGTGCCCTAAAATCATGCTCTAGAGCCAGAAGCCAAGTTATACTAGTTCTAGCTTTCCCGGTGTTCCGCCTCATTCCTGTGGGCATTGTCTTTCCCTGCGGTGGGAGCACAATAGATTCTACGGCCATCGGAAAAACGATTAAGCAAAAACCCGACTTCACACTACAGGAGCTGGTATTCAAGGTCAGAAGCGGTCGAGTCGTCTTTTTTTTTTTTGGAATACGTTGTTAACTAAAACTGAATAAGATTAAAAGTTACCTGATAGAGTGTGCTCCATGGCCTAGTGAAACACCAAACATTGTAGCGCGTGCTTACAAAAGTGTACTTTTAAGGGCAGTTGAAAACAAAATTTTTTTAACAAGGTGTATCGTGGTCTCTGTGAGCAGGATTTCTTCTTTGTAGCTAATTGATTGGCAGGAGATATACTGAAAATACTATTTTTTTACTTTTATAAAGCAAAACAAATACACATGAATTGTGTAATTAGAATATTCTGCAAGATACTTTTGATGCCTGGATATATGCTTTAAATTAATATATTTTCAGTATATTTTTTGTTTCAGGAGTGCCATACGCGCTCCGGAAACATAGGCGTCGAGGCACACTCAAAGCATATATTTTGTATACACTATTCGTACCTAAAAATTCGTAGACTAGAATATGAAAACTAATACCGTACTTTCCAAAGTTTTTAATTAAGATACGAAGTTAATATAGTACATATATAGTGTATTACTTTTTATAAAATGAATAGGACAATGCCTTCTCACGGGTGACCTTGGTCAAGTTTCATAAAGTTTAACGTGTTAGAAATCAGTCAATGTGTCTCGGTGAGGCACCCAAATCGTTTCCACCGACTGCTTGCAACGTTCGGCCGCCTAAAGGTCAAGCCTATTTCACGACTAGCTGGATGGGTGAGTCGAGTTTCTTGTGAGATATGACCTACTGGACCCAACCAATGGTATGGGCTGCCTGCGAAGACATTAGCATCTGTTCTTAAATCACATTGCGAACCTCCAGGGTACTGATTCTAAGCGCGTACGCTTGCGATCAATCTCAAGTTTAACGCTGGGTTTAACGCAATAGAAATGGCTCGACGCAAATTAGGAGTAAAGTATCGCTAAATATGCATATGGCGATGCGTCTTTCACCTGTAGTTTTTCATCAAAAGGTTTCATTGTTCTGACAGGGTTCAAGCGATAGTGTAGACTTATCGCAAGCCACAGCATCTTTGTGATGATACAGACTTTCTGTTGACTCTGGCGCTTTCCAGGGCTCTGTGCTCAAACCTCTCATTTTCTTGTTGTTTAATAATGATACAGTACAAGATGTTTCGGTAAAAACCGGGTTATACGCTGATAATTGCATAATTTACTCAGAAATCGCTAGTGCTTTCGATCAAATTTTTTTATATATAGCTTTTAAAAAAATCACGGGATGGTGTACGACGTGGCAAATTACTATTAACTTTGAAAAAAAGGTTTTCATGAGAATTACACGCAAAAAAAAATCCTTTGAAGTTTGTTTACAATACTAATAATATTCTTCTGTCAGAAGAAACACAGTATAAATACCTTGGACTATGGATCACTCATAATCCTACTTGGACAAAACAGATTGATTACGTAACATCAAATGCTCTTCGAAAGTTATTCTTTCTTACAAGGACGCTAAGACTTTCTACCCATTCCTTGCGTCTTCTAACATATAAAATTATAGACTTGCCAAGATTACACTACGCGGCTATCATTTGAGATCCTTTCACCAAACTAAACATTAACAAGCTCGATTATGTGCAGAAAAAGACAGCTCGCTACATTGATAATAGCTTTGGACGTACCTCTATAACCGAACTTTTAACCAGAGCTAACTTAAAGTCATTATCTCTCAAAAATTGGAATTCTCGACTAAAATATTTGTATCAATTAATAAATGGACATTATAGGATGGATGTGACTCACTTAATAAACTTCTCATCAGGCTACGTTACTCTACGGAGGCATGCGCTAACAATCACTCCTTTTCGATCCCATAAGAATTGCTTCAAGCACTCTTTTTTCCGCGAACGGTGACTGATTAAAATAGCCTTTCTGAAAGTGTCGTTATGCAGCCATCATTGTCTTTATTTGAATCCCTCCTAAATTAGTTTTGTCCCTCTGTAAAATATTTGTTCTTTTGTTTTGATATTTTGTATGCCTGCATGTCTTGTCAATCAAATGTACCCACGTGCTAAAATCCCTGTCCGGGATTGCAGTATAAATAAATAAATAAATAGTACACTGATTCTGATCAAAATTTTGTTTCTTAAAAGTCGAAGGTGTACGATTAGATAATCATTTCTTTCCAAATACAAAATTTTAAAAATGATAATCAGGCTGCTCTAGTTGGCCGATCACATTTTCAAGGTATACCGTGAATACCCGTGATATGAAGCTAATTTTTACAAAAGCGATTCCCGCGTTTACCTTCCGAGCAGATATGTGGAGTGCCGATCACCGTTATCTACAAAAGGGTCAGCACATTTCAGTGAAGCGATAGTGTTTTGGCTGAAGAGAGTAGAGTCTGAAACATTAGGCGCTAATAATTTTTTAAAAAATCTGTTATTACCCCGTCATTCGCCCCGTCAATCGTTACTCTTATAGGGACCCTGTGTTAAATTTTTTTTTTTCTGCCTGTTTCAATCTGGATGAGCATCGCATCCGCGTGCAGTCGTCTCATCGGCTTGCATCTGCGTGTGGCTGTCTGTATCGGTGTCGCGCGTCGAAATTCCCAGGCTAAGACAGGGGAGGATATAAGGGGGAAGGGGTACTTTTACAATGAAATCGTTGATATGCACCAGCCAAAAGTTTAGTTTTTGGCGACATAGCAGATATTTGGTCAACATAATAGACCTGGGCAACGTTTCGACCGTGTTCTATCTCCGCAGACTCCACCCCCCCCCCCCCCCCCCCACGCCCTGGGCCGAAGGCCTAAAGCCCCCGCTCCCTTCCCCGCCCCCCCCCCCCCCCCCCTTTCCCCTCCAGGCCTGACCCATAAATGCGCCCCTGGGCTAAGAGTCGTACTGAACTAACTCGATTTGACTCGACCAAGCAAAAAGATCAGACGCCCGATGTCTAAACTTTCACCGGAAAATTAACGTACTTTTATTGTCATAAATCAGACTGACCGACTTTCGTATCAGTTGCTGTGAAGAAAAAGCGTAGATTTTGATTCGGTAAATCTCATTGTGTAGATAGAAGAATTTACGATAATTACGCCATCGGTAGTTGTAATACACTGTTTTGTAAATAGGAAAGCCAGATTGCGTAACGGCATGAAACAGGCGGGCTTCCCAGTTGCAATTTATATACAAAAATATGACGACCACGGCCTAATCGCCAACCTTGAGTTTTTAACGGAGCAGTATACTGAAAGCTTTAGGCATACTGCATTACTGCGCATTACCTATATTTTAACCGATATGATGCATCCCAAATAAATGTAGAAAAATCACTGTACCGACGAAACCTGAGCTAACA